TTATTTATTTATTTTTTTGCGGAACTGGGGATTGAACTCAGGCCTTTGCGCTTGCCAGGGAAGCACTTATTCCACTGAGCCATCTCCCCAGCCCCAAGTAATTATACTTTTCTGACTTACATAGAATGCATTCCGGTAAACTATATTACGCTCTATGATAATAAATGTTTTAATTAATGGTCTTCACTTACTATCAGATATTGAGTTATACTATCTTTAAAAGAGCAAAATAGGTAACAAAAGTTGAAACATAAAAGAATTTGGCAAACAAATACTTTAATAATAAAATTCCAGATAACCCAGATTTATAATGTAACTTTAAAAGGTATAAATCTTTTACATGAACATCATTCCATACTGTGTCTGCTGGGCAAAGTATTTCTAAGCACTTTAAACAAGACTATATGAAGACCTACTCAGCTAAACAATATTTTAAAATGTAATTTCATTCAACAGTTGTTGTAACAATTTTTTTGAATCAAGTGTGGTATTACCTTTGAACTCAAAGCTGAATTTCAGATTTTAAAATATACATACTACTAATAATATTCAACATAGGCTACCAATGAAGGAGCAAAGAGGTCAAAGCTTACCAGCTGATCTGATCAATTATAAGAATGAGAATGATGAGTATAAGGGAATTGATGATTAAAGAACTGATTAAGAGGCAATACTGTAAGCTGCCTCTGTTCTAAGTTTGAGTTATCTCCATCTTCATAACCGTGAGAAGAATCACTATCATACTACAATAGAAAGAAACTGAAAATATTACATATCTTGCCTGTATCACTTGGCTAATCAACAGTAAAGCCAAGAAATAAACCCTAATAATACTGGTTGGTTGGTTAGTCTTTTGAGATAAGATCTCCTATGTGGCCCAGACTGGCCCTAAACTCACAGCAAACCTCCTGCCCAGCCTCTTGAATGCCGAGATTACAGGTGTGCACAACCATGCCCAATCTTAGTACTGATTTGTATACCAATTAAAGGTATCCAATTTACAAAGTCAACTATCTTAAAACAATATAAAGAAAAGTAGTTAAGTCAGCTCTTACCTCTTCAGGCAATTCACTGTACATGGTTTCAGAGGTAGACAATAAAAATATAGGTGAAAATGATGGTATATCTTGCAGCAATGTCAGAAAAGTTGCTCTCACAGTCTCACTGACAGCTTCCCACCAATCACCAATGTGAGGCATGTAAACAATACTAGGTACTGTTCTTCGAGCTTCACGAAATATCTATGGAAAGAACCAGTACTTAAAAATTCAGTCTTTACTCTAAAATCTATACAGCAACACTAGATATATAAAATGTACTGGGCCTGTTACTGTCAAAATTTCAGGCTCCAAATTTAAGTTCTTTGAGACACAACGCACAAGGGAACAAAGCATGGTGGCACATGCCTGTGATTCCACCACTTAGGAAGATGAGTGGAAGGATCACCAGAAGTTCAAGGTGAGTCAAAATTATCTAGTGAGACCGTGTATCAAAAAACAAACAAAAAAGATACTACAATCCACCAGCCTTAAATATAGCTACTATTTTCTTGCCCCACCAAAAAAGTATTTTTTCCATTGAACTGTTCTTATATTAATAACATAAAGAAATCAAAGCATTATACATATCATGTACAGATAAGACAAACCACCACTATAATATACTGCAAGTAAATAAACACATAACTATGTCACACATTAAATCAGTAAAATTTACAAAAAAGAACAACATAGTTGAGTTCACCACTCAACATATGAATTAAATAAATATTTTATCCACAGCACATCACAGTAACCTGGAGTTTAAAATTCATGAACTTCTTGTAGAAACACTTGTTCACTTCATTACTTTAATTTCAATCTTTCTTAAAATAGTCACAAAATAATCTGACTTCTCTGAAGAGCAATAAATAAATTAGCAAAGGGCACTAAGACACTTCCTTTCTCAAAACAGAAGTTTTCCTTAGTCATAAGAATCTTTTTTTTTTTTTTTTTTTTTTTTTTTTTTTTTTTTTTTTTTTTTTTTTTTTGAGGAACTAGGGATTGAACTCAGGCCCTTGTGCTTGCCAGGCAAGCACTTATTCTACTGAGCCATCTCCCCAGCCCTAGTCATAAGAATCTAAATCACACTTTCAGTCATGTTTGCCTACAAACACCAATAAGGACCATGCTGGCCAACAGTAAGCTATCAAGCAGAACTGTGGCTCTTTATGCATAAGCCCATTAGCAAATTCGGGCATGTTACTATGTCATCCCTTCATTGTTTTAACAATTTGAGGTATAAAAGTAAGTGCTTCCCTGGCAAGTGCAAGAGCCTGAGTTCAATCCTTGGTTCCACAAAATAAATAAATAAATAAATTTAAATAAGGACTATTACAAACTTTACTAAGAATCAAAATGATTACTTTTAATGAGTAGTAAGCTTACTATCATGCATGAAATTATTCAGTATTTTAAACCAGATTAAAGGGCTGGTGAGATGGCTCAGTGGTCTAAAGCGCCTACTTAGAACAAGCTAAGCTAAACAAAGCACAGGGACCGCGGTTCAATCCCCAGCACCACATGCCAGCCAGCCCGCCCCCTGGCGGGCTGAGCAGGCCACACACACACAATAAATAAAATAAATAAATAAATAAATTTAAAAAAATAAATAAACCAGATTAAAGAAGCTCAAATAAAAATTTCCCCCCAAATTGGAAGAAATATAGATATTATAATCACTTGCACCAGAAGTAGTATTTGCTCCTTCCCTTAATATTGGCACATCTACCAATCCAGAAAAATTATATCATACAATCCTTTAAAACTCTAATTCTGAAGTTTTCTTTATACACATCCATCTCTCAATATTGGACATCCAAGGTTTATTTTTTCCCCAAAGACCAAATGTCATGAAAGGAAAAACAAGCACAAATATTGGCAAAAAGCCAGGTGTGGTGATGCACTCCTACAACCCCAGCACTCAGAAAGCTGACGCAGGAGATTGCTGTGAGTTGGAGGCCAGCCTCAGCTATAAAGTAAGTTTAAGGCCAGCCAAAACTGCACAGTGAAACAAAGATATATAGATATGTATCACTGCATTCTTATATTATAAAGGAAGGAACTACACAAGACAACTGAGGCATTTGCTTTTTTAAAAAATTATTGCATGCATAGTATGAAGACAGTGATCAAACCCTTCTCTCACTTATCAATTCCCCATCTGTGCTGGTAAAATTGGGGGCGGGGAGAAGATGAACACAAGAAGAAGACAAAGGAGCTATATATAGTTCACTGAGAAACTTCATAAACTAATTCAGCCATAAAAATTACCATATATTCACAGCACAAGTGGAATGAAAAAACATGGGGTAAAAAAAAATTTTTTTTTGGTCTTTCATATGAGTAGAACATATAGGTTACATTTTCTAGAATACATGTGGAGAATAGGCACAACAGCAAAAACTTAAGGGATAATGAGAACTTCACAGAACCACAAGTTACCTAATGCAGTGTTATCAGTATTTTAACACTATTGCAAGGCTGAATGAGATACAAGTCTCACTAGCTCCAAAAGAGATGGGGTTGTGCTTCTATTTCTTCTATTCATCAATTTTCAAAAAATTACCAAATTGTACTTGATATTCTCATTATTTCCAAAACTTTTAGAAAAATATCATTTCCTATGTACAATTTTTAAATTTGTATTTGAAAAGTTAAGAATAGAGGGCCAGGGAGATGGCTCAGAGGAATAAGTGCTTCCCTAGCAAGTGCAAGGGCCTGAGTTCAATCCCCAGTTCCACCAAAAAATCAGACAAGGCTAAGACAAATGCAAGCAAAACAGCATAGGTTTTTTGATCTGAGTATAATTACATGAGCTGATAATTCACCTAACTACATGTGATATCAATACCCTAATTCTCTAATTCTTCTACTAATTCTTTAGGGAAAAACTATTCTTATTTTCTAGAGAAATTTCAAAAACACTACCAAATAATTTTTCTTTTTCTGCCCATACTCTCAGAATAGTTTTCATTTAAAAAAAACTCTTCTAATTTCCCAGTATTTGAAAGGCAAATTGAAAAAGAATAATAGCATTTAAAATTATTTACAGTATAAAGGCGAGGGGGAAAAAACATGTTCTTGGAAACTCTGGGGGATTTGGGGGAATGAGTAATATAAAGATAGCTCTTCATCAGTTTGCTGGTGGCTTTTAAATTTGTGGAGTAAAATGTCCTCTATGCAATCAAATAATCAGCTAATTTAAAGTAGAAAAGCAAAGTTTCATTTTAATGAAGTAGCAACAGGTTTGGGAACAAGTGATCAATCATGCCAGTTGAGAACTAGAAAATACCTACATGGTGTCTTGAATTGATGGATATGCAAGATGTAATAGAAAACAGAAAAACTATATTTTTCTCTGAAATTACTGAACCATATGCTTCAAAATACTTTTGACATGAAAGTACTAAACCAACCATTTCAAAATACCTCTGACATGACCAGCACTTTTGCAAAAGTAAAATTAACAAGCACTAGCATCCATGAACTGGTTAGTTTGATTCTGCAAATAATATTCTCCATTTTTTTCTGTAGTGCTTATCCCAGATATCACAGTTCTTAAAATGATTTTAGCTTCTTTTTTAAAAAATCTCACAAACTACTTCAGCTGAATATTAAAGTTATGAAAGACAAAAGCTAGCTCCTTTATGCTAGGTGTACCTGTAAAAGAAAGCAACAATGTTATAAACTGTATTTATATTTAAAAACTTCTAATCATCTCAAAAGCTAAATTTTGAAGACAGTATATTTGCGCCCAACACTGTTCATGAGTTAGGGTTGTACACTATGGCAGAGTGCTTGCCTAGAAGGAGCTAGGCCGCAAGTACGATTCCTAGAACTGAATTATTCTTTTCATGTCCTGTATATTGTTGAATTCCTAGCTAATGCACAGGACACAGCCCTGCTGTTTTCTCTTTTCTTTTCTTTTCTTTTTTTTTGGTTTCTAAAGTGAATTCCATTTATTTTGATACATCTTTTCCCCATGATGATTTATAGGATCTTCAAGCCAATATAAATACTTTATAAATATTTGAATTTTTAGGTATATACCTGCACAATACCTCAGCAATATCTTTTAGCAAGAAAATACTGAAGAGTAAAGGCTAGACACAATTACTGGGTACAGTGAAAATCTGCATATATTTCTGAGGTAAGAAGGCACCACATACCTGTTCAACTAAGAAAACCACCCTTACAACACAGAATGAATTTATTTTTACATAGGACCTAGAACACTTAAGCTGCCAATTAGGTACTGAATGGCAGAGCAACGGCCCCAGTTTATGCCATAAATTGATAGGGAATGGGTTCCAACAACTTGGGTTCCTTTCCATTGGACCTCACAAAGTGTGCTTCTCTGGGAGGGGCAGGCTGGCGTTTCAGCTGAACCCAGGTACCTTTCTCTTTGGCTTCCTTCTTTTTCTGATCATTTTCCTTGACACGTTTCAGGAAGCTATCACGACTTTTTGAGTGTTTAATATGCTCGATACGCACATTAATCCTCTTGGCAAGTATCTTGCCCTTAACTTGCTTGTTTACAACAATGCCAACAGCATGCTGGGTAACATTGTAGACTCTTCCCATTTTGCCATGGTAACATCTGTGAGGCATTCCTGTTTGCACAGTACCCATTCCCTTGATGTCTACAATATCACACTTTCTGTAGATTCACACGTATGTAACCAAAGGAACAAGCCCATGTTTTCTAAAAGGCCTGGAAAACATATACCGGGTTCCCCTCCTCTTGCCCTTTGTGTTAGTCATTTTGGCAAATTACTAAAACGAATCTTCCAACACAATGCTCAAGGTGTAAACCAGTAACAGCCTGGAAGATGGTGGTTCCAGCCGAAAGGTGTTTTCTCTTTTCATTATATCATTCTAGGCAAGGGATGGACAAAAACTTTCATTTCAGGGTTAGCTGCTATTTTATGATTTCCTCCCATTTTTGGGCTTTAGGTTGGTTTGCTCTTCCTTTTCTAGAAGGTTGAGTAGTTGCTATTTTAAAAAGTATCTTTACATTTATTGTATTTCTACTTGCTACAGTTTGCAAAAATAAAACTATTAACTTTAGAACATTATGAAAGTGTCCACCTTAGGGAATTTTCTTATTACCCTAAAATACTTTTTAGTTTATACTGTAAGCCTTCCAAATAGTCATGTAATATGCAAATATTTATAACTTGAATGTATCTCTTTAATATTTGTATCTCTCAATGTCTGAATCAATCTTGCATGCTTGTTAATAGTGGCATATTATTTTTTTTAAATGTATTTGGTACAGGATCTCACTACACAGGTCAGAGTGTTAGGGATCCTCCTTTTTCAGCCTTCCCAGTGCGGGGATTACAGGTGTGCGCCACCATGCCCAGACTCAATGGCTGGCTCAGAACGGCACGGCATGTGGTGCCAGGGATTGAACCCCAGTCCCTCTGCTTGCCTAAGAAGCTGCTTAGTCTACTGAGCTATCTTGCAAGCCCTGGTACATTATTCTTTATTATTAGTAAAGGAGATTGGTCTACAGCTTTATATTTCTTTGAAAGGTTTGATATTGCTGGTTTGTTTGTTTTCAATATCATAGATTTTCACCTTTCCTATGTTTTAGGGCAGTTTAGCATCAAAATAATCTTATTTTTTAGTATTAAAATAACTCACTATGAAACTTTTTTAGGATTAGTGCTTTTATTACACTTGCTTGATTCTAAACATCCACACTCAGTACATGTTTAGAATCTCTCTTTTTTCAGGTCTACTTTAACAATTTATATTTTCCTATCTAATCATTTGAACTTACTAAAGAATACTGAGTAGTTTTCTTAGCGGTCTATCCCTGCAATAATTTTGTTCTTCCAAAAGGGAAAAATATGAGCAAATATATAAATAACATTCTTTAAAAATATTCACAGCTAAAATGAGTTAAGTACATCAAACTGGAAATGAGGATACAGATATTTATTTAGACCATAGGTCTTAGAAGGAAATCTTTAAACAAAGCTTCATAAGTAATGAAGTGCTAGTGGGATATTGATACCCATAGAATGATTTATAAAAGAGAAATTAAATCAACACTACTATGAACTGTTTACCAAACATGTATTTCTTGCTGTAAGATAGGGAATGGCTCTCAATTAATTATAAAATATTATTTATAAAATATTATTTTGGACAATAAAAAAATTGAGCAAGTTTTCCTAAATGCTACTTCTCTAGTTATCTAAAACAGAAAAGTAGGCTACACAGTAAAGTACAAAATGACATGTCTCCCTTATTCATTGAGTTTTTATTACACCTTGCTGCCCAGCCAAATGTGTAAGTCTTGGCTACTAGGGAGGCTGAGATGGGAAGGTTACTTGAGCCCAGGAGTTCAAGACCAGCCCAGGCAACACAGCAAACCCCATCTCCAAAAGGGGAGGAAAAAAAAAAATCTAGTAAAAACTTGTCAGGAGCTGGAAACTGTGTCAGACATAGAGAAATAGCTAATACACAGTCCCTTGGCTTATCAAACTTATTTCCCTCACTCCTAGTGCCAACATATTAACAGCCGTACATATAAACAGTAAGAAATGTAAATAGACACCATACTAGAATGTTGCTTCATAAGCCATAGGCATTTCATGAGAGCTAAAAACCAAGTATCAGACACACTAAACTACTGCTACAAATATCTATACTAATAATTCTGATACTTGAATTGGGTATCATTTTCCTTTCTGTGAGAAGGCACTAAGTAAGTAAAGACAAAGTCTAAAGAACTCTGAAACCACAGCTTTGGCAAGAGAGTCAAAAGAAAAACGCAAAAAATAATTTCAATTTCTACAGTATTTAATGAAATGGCATATTAAATGTAAATAAAGAAGCAAATGAGAAAAATTGAACAATTTTAGAAAATGTAACACATCAAAAAGATCCTCTGCACTAAGAGAATGCTAATGATAAACAGTAAGATAATCATATTATCTTATAATTTCTCTATAAACACTATGCAGCATATGTAAGGTGCCATGGTAGATGCAGTATGCTCTGATATAGTACAAACCTACCTGTGCACAGGATTCTTCAGGTGTTTTGGCACTAACTGAATAAAGTGCTGGGAGATCTAGTCTATGCACAGAAAATCTCTCTAGAGTATGCAAAAGTGCTGGCGCAAGGTGAGAAGTTTGACCTGAGCCTCGTTCTCCAGACAGCAATAATCGTGGCCTATAAGAAGTTGGCTGATGATAAGGTGACCTGTAACACATACAAGATGCAACAGTGGTTTCAAAACTATACATCCTTAAGAGCAATATAAAATAGGCAAAACATTTACATTAAAAGGACAGAAATCCAAATTAATAAGATTTTTTAGTGTTTTCTATTATGATTCTAAACTGCTATCTCACATTATTAACAAAGAAAATATAAAAGCATAAAATCCATTCTAAAGAATGAAAAATACCTATATTTTAATCCTATAATATCATACATAGTAACTTGGTGAATGTAAAAGACTATTTATTTATTAATTATTCAAGGTCAAATGCTAAGAATCTCACTTTTCCAACACAAGCAGGTCTACATATCATTCCAAATACAGAATGTTTTTGAATGGCTAAAATGATACTTTGTGTATATTTTATTTTCCACAACTATGGCCTGAACATGTCTCCACAAATTCAATGTTGATGCTTAAACACTCATGCAATAGTATAAACAGGCAGGTCCTTTAGAGGTGATTACACTATGAGCACACAGCATAGAAAGGGTCCCAAGAACCGCCTCATCAGTGGTCTTCTTCAGTATGAGGACACAGGACTCATAGTACCTTTGTGCAAACAGAGAAAAGGACCTCACCAGACACCAAACATGCTGCGGCTGTGATTGTAACATTCCCAGCCTCTGTAACTGTCGGCAATAAATATAAACTGTTCAGAAAGTACTCAGTCTAAGGTATTTTGCTGTAGCAGGACAAATTAACTAAAACCACTGTAAGTTATAAAACAGAAATTTTAAAAATTAGGCCCTTTTTAGAGATGGTAAATTTTGTTCCTGTGATCAAAAACAACAACAATCCAACTGTTTTTATCCTAATCTAAGGCATCAGAAGCTATAAAGAAGCAAAGTAAATTATACCAAATTGAATTTGTACTTTCAGAATTCTACAATACCACTTAAAATAATAAATGAAACAAGTTCACCCACTGTGAACAGTGCCAGAAATTCAAAGCCAATACAATAAAGATAATGCAAAATGAAAATGAAATGGAAATAGAGGAAAAATGGGTATGATTACGCAATAAAACATAAAAAAGAATTACTAATGGTATCAGAAACTACCAACAGAGAAATAAGATGGGAAACAGAAACAGAAGGGTGGATCAGATTTCAACACCATCAATAATCATTGTAAAATATATAAGATCCTATTTACAATTGCAGAAACAATGCAAAAGGTGAAACAAGCGATATCAAGTATCTCAGCAAGAAATGTTTGAAACGCAGTCAGTACCCAAAGACTACATGAAAGGTTCAAATTCGTCCTAAGCATTTAATCTATACATACGATATTTATGATAATATGAAATTTCATAATTTCAAGTAAAAATCCCCGAAAAATTTGGGAGAGGGAAATTAAAAATATTTTCAATTTTATCTGAAAGAACATCAAATGAAATTAAGAAAAATCTTCAAAATAAGTTAATAATTTTACAACATTTAAATGGATATTACTAACAAGCCCTTTATACACAGTTTTTGTTCAATTTTCTTAATCCTATGAAATTCAGTTTCATTTTATAAAAGAGATGAGGAAAACAGGGTTTAGAGAAGTTAGATACGAGACTAAACAAATGGGTGACACAGCTCCAATTTTCATTCATGGGTTGGGGATACAGTCCACTGGTAGAATGCTTGCCTAATAAGTGCTTAAAGCCTTGTGTTTGATCCCCAAGTGCCACCCCCCATGGAAACCCCCCCCCCAAAAAAAAAGAGAAACAGATCCAGATTGGTTGCAAAGGCCAGGTTCTGAACCACAATGCATCACAATTAACAGAAAGAGAGATACACTGAAGAAATGAAACATGGTGAAACATAATAGCTCAGAAAGTAACAGAAAACACTAATAGGAGAATAAAAATAAATGTAGAGGAAAAAAGAAAATTTAAGCATTAACTGTTCCTTTTAATAGACCAGTAGAAATCTGCAGTACAATTATCCAAGCTATCCTATGTATATACACATTTTTGCCTCCTTTCCCTCATCTCAGTTGTTCCTTCCCTTTGAACAGTATCTTTCCCTTTTACAATATCTTTTTTTCTCCTCCTTGTAAATTTAAAAAAAAAAAAATTCTGACCAATTTTGCATGTTTACATCTGGTAATCTCAACAACTAATTTGAAGACAACAATATACAATATAACAACTATTGCTGAATTCTTATCATCTTGTTTAGTGAAATTCTGTATCGCTTCTAATGGGATTTTTAAAAAATTCTCTTTAAAAAATAAAATAAATGTAAATAAGGATAGATTATAAAACAAACATTCAAAAACACACAGGATAGCTCAGCATGGTGGCACATGCCTGTAATCCCAATACTTGAAAAGCTTAAGGCAGGAGAATCTGTGGGTTCCAGGGAAGCCTGTGCTACATAGTGAGTTCAAGGCCAGCCTGGACTACACAGTCAAACCCTGTCTCAAAACACAAAACAAAATAGAACAAAACAAACAACCCAGAGAACTCAAACCCTCATCTCATGATATCAACAAAATGAATTTCAGGGCTGAAGATACGGTTCAATAGTAGTGCTCTTACCTAGCATTGTTGAGTTCCTTGGTTTTTAACACCAGGGGCACAAAAAACAAAGTAAACACTAACCCAAATATAAATAAAAATAAATGATTCACATATACATTATATATAGATATAGATACTTGTTGTTCTGTTCTGTTTCTCATAGCACTGGGTTGAACACATGGGACTCTATCCATGTGTTACAAGCAGCCCTCAAATATTGTTAATTGACAAAAAACCAAAAACTTTGTAACTCAAAAATCATTATCTGGGGCCCGGGCAGAAAGCTCAGGAGAATAAGTGCTTGCCTGGCAAGCACAAGGTCCTGAGTTCAATCTCCAGTACCACAAAAAAAAAAAAAAAAAAAAAAAAAAAAAAAATCGTAATCTGAATCATGGCAAGCAAATGGGATAAAGAATGTGCCATATAAAAAGTCAGTACATAGTCTTAAAAAATAGCAACAAACCCCAAAAACTTACCTTGCTAGGAGCAAAAATTATGAAGAGATGTTCACAAGGAAAAAAGCAGAAAAAGACATCTTATCAATTGTAGAATGTCTACTAGGTTGAATGCCTTGGCCCTAGGTATTCTGTAAATCCACTGGTAGCAAAGAATTTATAACTGGATAGTAGTGAAAACAGAAATATGCAAATTATAATTTAATGTGATTAGTAAGTTGAATTGTTTCATGTACATGGTATTGCAGGAAATTCCAATTAGAGAAGTGGTTTTCTGGATGTATTATTAAAATAGAAACCCAACAAGAGTACAAGCAGATGGGATAATTCAAGAAAGAAAGGATGTACAAAAAGCCAGAAGCTAAAAAGAACACAGGCCTTTGGACTACTTCATATAGCCAGCTCCTTTTCACATATGAGCAATGTAGGGGTAAAAGCACGAGGGCTATTGAGAAAGGTAAAAAGTGGGAATATATAAAGGTCTGTGAAGACTCTTGCTGTTAAAAGTTTGGAACATGCACTGCAGAGGAAACACTAGTATACTTGAGAGAAATACATAATCATGCAGATCAGCCCTCCACATCTATAGGCTCAATATCCATGAATTCCACTAAGATGTTTGGAAATAAAGTAGTGCTTCAATTGAATATGTACAGACTTCTCATCATTATTCCCTAAACAATACAGTAGACTAACTATACTGTACTTACATTATTTTAGGAATTATAAGCTATCTAGAAGTGATTTAAAATATACAGGAAGATGTTCATACACCATTTTATGTAAAAGATTTGATTACCCACCGATTTTAGTATTCCAGCTGGGTCCTAGAATTAATCTCCCAGAGATACTAAGGGACAACTGCCCATGTTTAAGAAGATAACTCTAACTCAATATATCAATACAGTGAAAGGTTTTGAAAGAAGGCAGAGAGGAGGTAAGAGGACCAATTAAGGATCTGCTATAATAACATAGGCCTGAGATATTAATGATAATCTAAACAAAAAATAGCATCAGAGAAAGAAGAAAGAAAGAAAGAAAGAGGAAGGAACGCAAAGGAAAGGAAAAGAAAGGAAAGGAAATTAAGGAAAGGAAAGCAAGGCCTAAAGTGAAGCTTATTTTGTAAGAAAAATTAACAGGACCACACTACTAACGAAACACAGGAAGAAAATAAAGACAGCCATGGAGTATGAAGCCAAGTTCTTACTGCGACAACTGAATGGAAAGGTAGATCTCAGGCTCACAGTAAAGCAAAGCAAAGATACAGTCCAGCTTCACACAGAAAAATCTGTGGTTCAGCAAAGGAGAGACAGGCAACTGAACAAGGTCTACAGCCCAAGAATAGCTTCAGCTCAAGAATGATATGTTAGTCATTTATATAGACTTGAAAAATAAAATATAAAAACAATGACAAAGAATTTTTTATCTGTTAGAGTAATCAAAAATTAACACCCTTTATTAGTGAAAGGGTGACATTTGGTATACATTCAAAACTATAACTCATCCCACCCAAAGGACTCAATGACCTCTTACTATTCTCCACATTTTTTCATAGGATTTACCTTCTAATATTTTATGAACCTATTATACTTATTATTTTATTGCAGGCCTCCTCTGTCTAAAACGTAAGTTCATTATGGGCTGGCATCTTAGCCATTTTGATCACTGACAGAGGCAAGTACGTAGAGTGATTTCTAACACGTAATGGTCACTTTAAAAAAAAAATGAGCAAATGAACATGTGATAGAACAAATGAATGAGTCAAATGAACAAGAAAATATATCTTTCCTGCATCTGGATTTGGTGGTGCACACCTGTAATCCCAGCCCTTACTCAGGAGGCTGGGGCAGGAAGATCCTTTGAGTTCTGGCAAACCAGCTTGAGCTACAAAGTGAGCTCAAGGACAGTCTGAACTGCATAGTGAGACCCTTTCTCAAAAATATGACGAAGAAGAGGGGATAGGAAGGGGAAGGGGAGAGGAGGGGAGGGGAGGAAGAAAATATATTTGTTCAACTGTATATCAATAAACACAAACAGAACTAGGGGTGTAGCTCAGTGTAGAATGTTTACCTACCACATGTGAAGACATGGGTTCAATTCCCAGCACCACACACAGTTAAAGAGGAGACACAGGAGGAGGAAGCAGAGGAGGAGGGGGAAGAGTAAGACAGGAGGAGGAAGGGCTGGGGCAGCAAAAGGAAAAGGAACTCCTCAAAATTTACAAGGTATCAAGAAAATAACCCTTATATGTTAGCAGCAAAAATGTAAATTAGTACAACTCTACTAAAAACAATGTAACAATCTGTATCAAGGTTTTTTAAAAAAATTTTTTGTATCAAGGTTTTAACACAACAATCACACTTCTTTTGTTAGGAGGAGGTTGAGAGAGGATCTCCCTATGTACTGCTGACTGCTCTTGAACTTGCTTATATAGGTCAGGTCAGTATTGGAACTCACAGTGACACTCCTGCCTCAGCCTCCCAAGTGCTGAGATTACAGTCATGTATCACCATGCCTAGTAATAACCACACTTCTTAAAATTTACTTTGAGTCTTCAAACAGATAATGATGTAAAGGCATACACTTAAAGAAGATGCCTACTACATCAGTGTTTATCAAAGAAGAAAAATAAAAACCTCTAATTTCATAAATCCTGTAAGTTTTGGAAATGACATCACTTAAGAAATTACATGGGATAGGGAAATAGTTCAGTGGCATAAGCACCTGCCTGGCAAGTGCAAGGTCCTGAGTTTGTTTCCCAGTACCACAAAAAAAGAGGTTCCCAGTACCAAAGAAGAAGAAGAAAAAAAAAGCATACTATGTACCTTAAAGAATGATATTAAACATATACTAGAATAAAATACTCCCAGTGTAGTGAATCAAAAAGCACATCACATTAACAACTTATAGGAGTATATATAATCTATATAAAATACTGTGTAGATCTACGTCTATGTAAAATGAGAACATGGAAGGGTGGTCATCAAAACTTTAACGAATATTGTATATTACCTTCAGGTGTTGGGGCTTTAATTTTTACTTTCTTCTTTTTGCTCTTCTTTATTACTTGAATTTTCTAAAGAGTATATCATCTTTCTAATCAGAAAAAACAAAGCTATTTTCATTTTTAAAACCTCAGAAAGCTGTTTCTAAAACCCTTACGGCAACTAAAATAAGAAAGAAAATTTATTTCCATCATAAGGCTTCTGTACCAGATTGGGAGACCTTAACTATCTTGACTACTACTTAACTGAAATCTAGATAAAAAAGCTGACCTACTGTTTTAAATTATTCCCACAAATCACTAGCAATTCCCCAGGATAGTATATTTAGTGACCAGTGCTAATGTTAGGCTTTCTTCTTGCCTGTTAACCTTTTCTTGCTTTGTTCTAACATGCTAACTCATGCAGTTTATAGAAAACAAGACCAATCAAAAATCACACACACACACACACACACACACACACACACACACACACACACACACCCCTCTGTGTATTGTCCTTACCAAAAGCTTTTTATTAAGATCAAAAATTAACTTGAGGGGCTGGGGAGATGGCTCAGTGGAATAAGTGCCTCCCAGGCAAGCACAAGGGCCTGAGTTCAATCCCTGGTTCTGTCCCTCCCGCCCAAAAAAATTAATTTGGGGAAAAAATAATCCCAGAAAACTTGGCTTCACAAACTGCTAGTAAATGATCTGCACAATTATCTTACTTGTGCTTCAGGTTCCTTGTCTATAACACAAATGACAGTACTTTAAATGCTGTATTATTTACATATCCAGCACAGATATAGTTTGTCCTAAGCACTGTGGTGCAAACTTTCATCCCTTCTTACTCAGCAAGTATCACTACATCTCCTATGAAGCTTTCCTGGAGTAAACAGTAGGATTACTTCTGCTTTCATAGAACTTCAGCCACATCACAATCATGGCCAGCCCCAAAACAAGAGCTTCTGCAGAGTAAGATCCACATCATATCTTTTCATGTTTATGGTTTCAACATCTATTACAGTACCTAACATACAGTAAACAAAAATGGAAGAATAAATGGGTGAACAGAGATAAACTAGTAAATATTACTGAGACACCTAAAAAGAGAAAAGTCTCATCCAGATTAAGAGCTGTTACTATTAAATCAAAATTAATTAGTAAAGTAGAAAAGTTTACTTAAAGGAACATAAAGCAATCCTTTCTGAAAAGCTAAATTAAGCAAATTAGCCATACCAACAGCACACATCAGTGGCAGAGAATGTTCTTCACAAAAAGTCAATACAAAACTGGAGGGAAAAAAAACTGGAAACAAAGCTTTCTAATTTCAAAATCTATCTTTGTGTTCCTTTAACGACAACAGAGCTATCTTACAAAATTGGAACATAAGTCAATAATGAGCTCCTGCTACTATATAACTCAAAACCAAACAACTAAAACTGTCAAAACAACACATACGCACACTCAAATGCTAACAAGGTAAATGGCAAGCAAACAGGAATATCTAATTTGCTAACCATTAATAAAATAGCTGTAAAACACACACACAAACAAAAAGTGTGTAAGAAAACACACCTGAAAATGTCAAGGAAAGGAGCTAGAAAAGAAGAAAGTTTCAAATAGTAGAACTTGATGTTAATAGTCAAGAAAACGACAAATGGAAGCAACTTAGGCTCACTTTAAAAAACTAAAACCGAGAGAGGATTATGAATGCAAATAACCAAAACAACATTTCACCGAAATCTACATATAGAAAACACTGATTCAGGGGGAAGAATTTGTTCAGAATATCTTTAAAGTAAAACTACTTAGAGGCTTCATTGTGAAGTGGTATTAGAAGTACCCGACCGGAGCTTCATGGTCCTTCAACCATAGTGCTAATTATGTAACTAGAGGTAATGATGCTGTTAGAGTTTGAAAACTATATGGTCTCTTAATTTAAAATTACATTTGTACTAAAAGTATTTACACATAATGATGCACAAGAAATGCTCCTTTAGCACAAACAGTGAAAAGGCAAAGGTAAATAGAAAAACCATAAAATTCAAATTACAAAAGTGTAAACTAATGAGGTTAAAGCTAGAGAATCAAAAGTTATTTAACTACTGTAAAAATTTATTTCAAAATTTCTTTAGTCTTTAGAATCCCTAAGACACCTGAAACATCACAAGTTAAAATATTCTAGAATGTAATAAACAAATATTTCATTTCTGTTCATTACAGTTCAAATAAAAAACAATAAAACCTGGGCCCCATAGGTTGATTTCCAAAGGGTAATCTGCACCCCAACAAAAGAAATGAGAAAATGAAAAGAAAAACACAATCAGTTAAAAAAAAAAAAAAAAACAACAGTATGAAAACTAGTAGATATGATTCTTCAACTTGGGTAAAACAAGCTAAATAGTTGGTCAGCAAACTAATTATTATCATATGAAGGGGAATACATAGGAAATTTTTCCAGAACTATATCTGAACAGAAAAACAAAGACTCCAAACTTAAGACAAAAGTAAAAAACACATTATCATTCTAAATATAAAGTATCAAAAATAATTTTAAATTGAAAAAAATTCAAAATGACTCACATTGTAAAATGAAGGTAGGATTTATGGATAGCAGCAGCTGAAGACTGTTTCTTTGGTGATCCTGAGTGACAACTAGTTTCAAAAATTGATAAAGCATTCTCATCTTCACTATCATCTACAATTAGAGCTTCTATATCTGTTCAAAAATAAAAGGGTAAGGCATTTAATATTAGTACTCTATAGAAGTTATGAAAAACAGGTAAAAATAAAATGACATTGACAAATAACTTATCAAATTATCAAATAATACAGATTGGACAAACTACAGCATTTTGAGTAATTTATAAATGGAATAAACAAAATTCCTTCAGTACTAAAACCCACCTAAGACTAAGATGTGCAAATTGAAAAGACTTCATTGATTAAAACAAGTCTGAAAAACAGTGGTAGTGTCATATAAATTCCACCTATCATAAAACTTTTGAGCTAAACTGGACCCAAATCAGATCACTTCATATTTGGTTGTTAACAAGCAGCAGCATCAAGGCCAGATCTGATAAAAGCAACAGTAAAGAACAAACTGACTCCCTCACCCCCTTTTTTTGATCACATACAACTTTTCACAGAAAATCTAGGTTAGATACAGGGGTAAATTGCTGTGATCTCAGAAGTTCAGGAGGCCAAGGCAGAAGGATTTCAAATTAGAGGCCAGCCTAAGCAACTCAAGTGAGATCCTGTCTTAAACATAAACTCTCAATCCTTAGTACCATGAGAGAGACAAAGAGACACAGAGAAAGACAGAGAGAAAAAGACAGAGAGAGAGAGAGAGAGAGAGAGAGAGAGAGAGAGAGAGAGAGACCGACCCTAGCCTAATTCAGATGGAGGTGAAAGTCATGCCCTGTAATCCAGGCATGTAGGAGGCTGAGGTAGAAGAATTACCACAAATTCAGGGCCAGCATGTATCAAAAATAATTTCATATTTTTATTTTTGTTTTTTGGGGAAGGGTCTACAGGGTGTTCAGGTTCTCACTACTAGATTGGACTTGTAGTGATCCGCCTACTTACAGCCTCCCAAGAGCTGGGATTACAGGCATGCACTACGAAGTCCAGTCTCAATTGCTGTCTCAGCGACCCCCGGGGATCAAACCCCTGGCCCCATGCCTGCTTGCAGGTACTTTAATCCACTGAGCTATTTGGCTGGCTGCCTCACAATCCATTGTGAACATTTACTTATCTCCCTCAAATCTCCTACATAACCTTACTCTTAGTAGAAGAGCTCATCTTTTCGTTAAAATAATTACGATAAAAGATGACAACAGTGGCAACACAACTTTCCTTATCTTCCATAGTTGCCTACTAAAAATACAAAAGCCACAGTGAAAAATCCAAACCCTCATGGACAATAAGCAAAACAAAACTAAATGTCAAGGACTTCCCAAAAACCCTACATCCCAGGTGGCTATGAACAAGCCGGTAGCCCCTGGAGACCTGCATGGGGTAGCTGTGTGAGGAAGGAAGCAGGGAGAAACCCCTGGAGCACGCTGAGATGGCAATGGAGACTGGGCATGGTGGCACACACCTGTAATCTCAGCTCTTTGGATGCTATATGTAAACAGGTAGATCACTATGATTCCCATCTAGTAGTGAGAACCTGAACACCCTGTAGACCCTTCCCTAAAATACAAGAAAAAATAAAAGCCAATCTTAAAAATGCATTCATTTTAACTGCACTTGTCTCTCTATGACCTTAATGGAATAACCAGAACTAAAATTCATCTAGAGTACAACCATTAAAATTCCCTGGATATAACCTGAAATAGCAACAGCTGTATTTCACATGTGCCAATCCAAAGTACCAATTTGATTAATAAAGAACTACATTTGTAGGGCTGGGGAGATGACTGAGTAGAATAAGTGCTTCCCTGGCAAGCATAAGGGCCTGAGTTCAATCCCCAGTTCTGAAGAAAAAAAAAAAAAAAAAAAAAAAAAAACCACACCCCTAAAAAACTACATTTGTAAGGGATGTGAGGAAAAATCAAGATTGATAGAAATCAATTCCAGGAGTGGCTGCATGCATCTGTAATCTCACTACTTAAAAGAGGCAGAAGGATCATGTGAGTCCAGGAGCCAAGTGGCCTGCGTAGGCAATAGAAAGAGACTTATGTTTCACCACCCCAAAAACGACCGACACAGATCACTGCCTTTCAAAATGAGGCAAGGGGTATAAAATGATACAGAATTGTGCTGCAAGATGAAGATCTCAGTGGCTTTTTTAAAAGCTATTATTTTTTAAATAACCTAAAAAATAATTGAGTACTATCTGAGTGTTAATATCATACAGGGAGGACACTTGTCTAAGAAACTCTATTAAAGACTGACAGGAGAAATATATCTACATAACTAAAAGAAAATTGCCAAGGAATAAAATTTGATCAGTCATGCCCCTGGCTTAGGCAGAGCCGTAGCAGCCAGGGTTCGTTCCCAGCGTGCCACGCTGGTCCTGACCGCAGGGTGCGCTGAGACTGGGTGTGGTGTCGCATGCCTGTAACCCCAGTGCTTGGGAGGCTGAAAAAAAGACGATCACTATGAGTCCGATCTATGTAGTGAGACCCTGAACACCTTGTAGACCCTGTACTAATTACATAAAAATAAATAAAATAAAATTTGATCAGTCTTCCTCACTAGTGCATATCATTGAATTTAATTAGCTGGAACTAAAATATACTTTATACTGATGGGAGAAAATTTAGAGGAAAACACATAATAATTCCATAACACATGATAATTCTCACATGGAGGACATAATTCTGCAGAAGAGAAGATGAGACGTTTACAATTTTAAAGGTAATATAAATGTTTTCATAAGTTACAAATCTGGGGGAAGATACATATTCCCAGTTATGCAAAACACAAATTTAAAAAGATATATAGGTTGTGGCATAGTATCTGGCTTTGCCATATGTTCCCTTCCCTCTGGCAAAATAATTTTTTTAGTCTTTTATTTGGTACAGGGTCTCTCTATGCAACTCAGACTCAATGATCCTCTTGCCTCAGCCTCCTCAGTACTGGGATTACAGGTGTGTGCCACCATGTCAGGTTTCAGGGCTGGCACAGCATGCTTTACAGAGGATCAGACCCCGGTTCTTGCACTTGCCAGGCAGGCACTTAGATCACTGAGCTACTTCCCCGGCCCTGCTCCTGCAAAATTTAAGAAATCAATCCATGTAAATATAATGTAGGCACTTCATAACTCTATCCCTAAAAATCTGAGGTTTTTGAAAAATGTATTTATAATGACAGCAAAATTTACTACCAGTTTTTTTTGTTTTTGTTTTTGTTTGTGGAAGTGGGGATTGTAGAACTTGTAATTTTATATACACATATACTTTTTGTGGTACTAGGAACCAAACTGAGGGCCTCACAAATATTAGGGCAAACACTCTGCCACTGAGCTACATACCAAGTCTTACCATATAACTTTTTTTGGTGGCTGGCTCAGCTCACCCTAGGGGCAGGCCTGGCACAGTATGTAGTGCCGGGGATTGAACCATGGCCCTTGTGCTTGCTAAGCTTGCCTAGGCAGGTGCTTTAGTCCAGTGAACTATCTCACCAGCCCATTACATAACATTTTTAATTTAAGTTTATTTCTCTCAACTTTTTCCTTTTTCAGAGACAGGGTCTCCCTATGCAGTTCAGGCTTGTCTTAAACGCAGACACAGAGGTCCTCCTACCTCAGCCTCTAAACCATTTTCTATTTAGAGCAAACTCCATACCAGTAAGATGCCACATCCAGAAGAATGTATACTATTCCCTCTCAAAGTTCAGCGGTTTTCCTCTGATTAGATCCCAACCTAAATCTCTAGTTTTCTCCTGCAAATGAGTGATGCTTTTAGAGGTAGCTTTCTGTTCTTGTCTCATATCCCAAAATACAAACAAAAGGCTTAACTGAATTAATAGCTTTCTACTCCTAATTTGTTCCCTTATCAGTAGCTTACATTCCAATTAGCACAGCACACTGCAAATGTCCTTCTAGTAACACTAAAATATATGTGAATCTACAGAGGGTTAAGAGGTAAATCCACAGAGGCATAAGAACAGCACAAGAGCATGGACTACAGCAGTGGTGGTACATCTACAGCCAGTGTGTTATTTTAAAGACAAAAGATGTTGCTGAGGTATGGTAGCACATGCCTGTAATCTCAGCACTCAGAAGGCTGAGGCAGGAGGAATGCCAGAGTTCCAGGCCAGCCTGAAGCACAAAAGACACTACCTCAAAATAAAACCCAAGACCCCCCAGTACCACAAAAAAAAAAAAAAAACCCTAAAAATAAAAATAAAACCAAAAACAACCAACCCCAAAATGCTAATTGAGTTGTTTTTCCTAAATAGAAACCTCAGCACTAAGGTTTAATTGCAGTGGAGGCATTCTGTGACAAGTAGGTAGGTTTTGAGTTTTACTTTGGGTGCTTCTCTCTAAAATGTTTGCCACTGATGGGCTACAGAGTCAGGCTGCCTGGGTTCAAGCTGACCCCAGAACCTATGAGGCAATTACGTAACCCAAATCCAGACTCTGATGAGGATTAATAAATGATAATGTTAAGTGCTTTATAATAACGTATGTAGGCTATTACTATTATAGTCAACTTTCTTTTTCTTACTGGGAATTGAACTCAGGACCCTCTGCTTGACAGGCAGGCATTTGTGCCTCTGAGCTATATCCCTGGCCCCATAGTCAACTTTCTAAAGAGAACAGTGCTCCTACATTAAGATGGTTACAATATCTCAGGAGTGAACATTCATTCACTGTATAAAATATTCACCAGATGCTGGGTAATGTGCCAGGTCTGCAAAACACAGTAGTGAGTGAAACAGATAGATCTTACATAGTTATGACAAATACAAAAGAATGACACATAAATAATTTTATGAGGGAATTCTTCATTGCCGTATATTTTAATAACAAAAAAAAATACCTTCTTTCTTGTCACTCTGGCTAATTTCAGCATGAGGAAAGACCTTTTGTAAGACAGCTAGGATGTTATTGAAGCTTCTTTCCAGCAGTGGCCTTATAATTGGGTTTAGCGCATGTCCTGAAGACATCACAGCACGTTGCGAAGCAGGCACAATATTCTGCATTGCGTGGTAAAAATCCTGGGCACTGAGCACAATTGAGGAAACATCCAGCTGCAGTTTATGACTGCTAGCATAGATCTGGGGGTAACGCCTCCGAAGGGCAATCAGGGCAGCTTCAGTGCACAGGGCCTTGATATCAGCTCCACAGTAGCCTAATGCACAAAAGAGGATAACAAAGGTTAAGTTCATTCGTCTGAGCACTAAACACATTTTGTAAATATACATATTCATCTAAACAACTAACACCAACTCGGTAATTATGTATAACTTTATTGGCAAAATGAAGACTGATCACTTAAAGTCATCTTACAAAAGTATTGAATTAAGGGCCAAATACTGAAACTAAAACATTTTGAATATTTCACATTAATAAAAACATTAACATTTAGTATGTGTCAGAACACCGATTACAATGTGCAGCTTTTTGCAGGGAAGGTTTTAAAAAAAAAATGTAATAGTTTCACTTCAATCCTTCATCAATGGATACCTACAGACAGACACACATATATAAAATATATGTGCAAGGCCTACTTGGAACAAGCTTGGCAAAGCACAGGGACCACGGTTCGATCCCCCAGCACCACATGCCAGCCAGCCTCGCCCCCTCCTGGGCTGAGCTGGTCACACAATAAATAAATAAATTATATATATATATATATATGGGCCGGGGAAATGGCTCAGTAGAATAAGCACTTCCCTGGCAAGTACAAGGGCCAGAGTTCAATCCCTGGTTCCACCAAAAAAAGAAAGAAAAGAAAAGAGCATATATGCTTCAGATAGCTGACAGGCTAATTTTAAAGGTTACATCAACACAGGGCATTACCTTTTATCTGTTTAATGGATGAGGCAATTAAACATTCTCAATCAATCACTAGTTTATTCCTCATTTAACTTACCTATATGACTTTTCTAATATTAACCTCTAAACACATATCATAGTAGTACATAAGCAGAAACTTTAAAACTAGTTATTTTACTTCCAATTCTTGAGTGCAATACACTAGTTAATTTATACCGTAAAAATTATAATCTAAAAGTATACTTGCATCTCTGATAGCTCCAAAGCATTGGGGAATGAAAATGTTTAAAAATATTCCCATGGAAGAGGGGGTGGTTACAGTGTTATACACATTGATTTTCCACATCAACTCATTATACAATCAATGGATACATATATATATACATATATATGTGTATATATATATATAAAATACATATGAATATATACTTGAGAAAGCTAACAGTCTAGTTTTACAGACTACACCAACACAGGGTTTTACCTTTTATCTATATTTAATGGATAAACAATTAAACAGCAAATCAAGCCTCACTTGCTTTTAAGTCATTTCATTACTAAGAAGCAAATACATTTTTTAAAAAAACTTGAACTATTAAGTCTGTATCATAAAAAAAAAAAATTAGCCATATCTTGTTAAAGATATTAAACCTGCATTTGGCCACTTTTGTCAGTTATACCAGCAGGGGGAACCCCTCAAACAAGTTCTACAACACCGAACTCCTGAACTTCTCAAGGAGCAGTATCCAATTTCTTTTTATACCTCAGTTATCTCACCCAACTCTGGTAAACTGAAATTGAAATGGTGATTACAAAGAAAAACTTACTCTCGTAAATAAGGAAAAGAGGGCTGAAGGGATGGAAGGAGAATGGTAGAAAAAAAAAAAGATATATCTTGTATAGGTACAAATTTCATATAATGAATGATATTTTATACTTCTAAAATATACCGATAAAAAACAAATAAAATAAAATATACCAATAAAATTAATTTAGAGAAACGAAGGAAAATTTAGTCTTAAAAGAAAAATATGACCTTATGAGAATTTAACTCAGAAAAATACTAAACAGATAAATCATAAATGTTGTTCGTGACACCAATTTATCCCCCAAATAAATCATCAGAATAACTGAATTTAAACACTAACTTATTTTCTATTTCTCAATAAACCTGAAAAGAGATTTTTCCTTTGATACACACAGCTGTTGTTTTCATTTAACAAAATGAGTCCAAAGCATCTATTTAAAGTTAGCCAACAAAATAATCCAAGAAAGTAATATCAGAAAAATACAATAGAATCTTCAGATATAAGTCTTTTTTTCATCTTTAAAAGCATATACATAATTAGTCAATATACTATATTGTCCTATTCAAATGCAGAAGCTTAGGTTAAAAAGCTCAGAAATAATTAAAGCAAAACAAAAATCTAACAGACACAAAGGTATTTTATGTACTATTATCACTAGCATTTATGTTTGCATAGCAATGTGTTAACAACATCCAAAATAGCAATGTATTGTTTTTTCCTAACTAAAGAATTTATTAGCAATAACACATTTCTACTACTGAACTACATTTTTACAATTTGCATAATCAACAGACTAAAAAGAAAAAATCAGGAAATCTCTCTACATCTGCGTGCAAGTAAGGATTACTGGTTATTTTATATTTATGCTTCTCAACTTGAATGATCAGAGTGAACAACAAAACTAAAACAAAAATATAGATTCCCAAGTCCCATAAACAAACATAGTAAATCAGAATCTCTAAAGGGCTTGAAATTATGTGCATTTTGAGAAAGCTTTAGAAATGATTCTGCTAGGCATGGTGGCATACACCTGTAATCCCAGCACTTATGAGACCCTGAGAGAAGGGGTAATTCTTATATGAACAACAACAACAACAAAAATGCTTTTTTAAATGTGTTTGGTACAGGCTCTGACTATGCAGATCGGACTCATAATGATCCTCCTGTTTTCAGCCTCCCCAGTGATAGGATTACAGGCATGCACCACCACACCACCTTAGTCAGTGGCTCAGCCCCCAGAGCCAGCGCAGCATTTGATGCCGGGGATCCAACACTGGTCCCTGCACTTACCTAAGCAGATACTTAGTCCACTGAGCTATCTTGCCAGCCCTAAACAAAAAATTTAGAACTACTGACTTAATGTAGTTCCTTCAGAATTACAACAAACCCATGGTTAATATGTTATACTTGAGGTGAACACATGTTCTGGCTAGGTCTCTAATCCTTGTCATAATTAACAGTATAGTTTTCTATTCTCAAAAGGAATTTCTGTCTTACAAATACATTATATGATCATTCTAGTAATACTAAAACTGTTACACCCTTTAAGAATTAAAAACTGATATGCAAAAAATTATAAACATTCCTTTCATGATCTCCATAATTCCACCATTATAATTCTAATACTCTGCTGAACACAAATATCTAGATAGTAAAGAAAAAGTATTTTTCTTTTTAAAAGTGCTGCTTTTAAAGATAGAATTTTCTCTGAAAGACTGTAAAACACAACTACTAAAGAGTCTAGATTGAAAAACTAAACTGAAAAAAGGTCAGGCTAGAAACAAGGTCATAACAAATGCCTAATCCTATTTTTTTTAATATAACATCACATAAATTGAAGGTCCACAATATAGATACTTTATTGATACATTTTTGTTTTAGCCCTCTCACTGAAAATAAACTAGAGAAATAAGATTAGGGTTGAGCTCTTCATTAATGATTAGGTGCTACTGTTGTGCAACTGTTCTGGATACCACTGTATGTTTAAAAGTCTTTACTACTTAAAATTATGCTTATTATGCATGCAAAATATCCAAGCGGTAGAAAATTGGTTTCAAGGTAAAAGTTACCAAATTCATAACCTCTATAGATGAACTATTGTTGCAGTGGTGCATGAAGACTGCAGTTTTTCAGCATAAATTTCACTGAACTGACCCATACATGTGGAAACATGTTTGGGATAAATATACTGATGCTTTCCTAATGGTTCTATTTTATTCCTGTTGGAAGCTCTGCATTTGTTGTTGTTTTTAATATGAACTAGCTTAATAAATGGAACAAATATAAAAGTTACAACCAAAAGCAGAAATCATTTATTTAACAATGGATTTTTATGGCACTACCCAGGAAGAAAATGGTATGTAAGTAAAATCAACATATAGGGAGGGGAATCCAAGAGAAATTTTTCAGTCCAGCAAGAAATTACATGTGAAAATCTAACAATTTAGAAAAAAGTGACTAAAAGCCACTCAAAACTGAGAAATACTGACCTATGGAAATGCAAGAAGAAACTAAGAATCTAACTTTTGGGGTGAAGAATTAAGTTACAGTGTATATGTCAGATGATAGAGTGACAAAAAATAATTTCTAAATATCTATCTCCTAGGGAATTGCTTAAATTATATTTAAAGACTTCTGCTTATTTCTGTTAAAAGTTAGATCTGTGACAAATTCACAGAAAAAAAAAATTCCACACAGATTTCACATTCTGATCTAAACTCTAACACAATAATATAAATAAAAGGGGACCACCAATTTCAAAAAGGGAAAAGACTGGGTTTTTACCAAATACCACCCTCTCCCATAAAGCAGCACAAGGCTTTGCAAAGGTCAAGCCAAATTTACATGAAATGGGTTTGGCGCATGCTCTCTTATACCAGGCAAAGCTTAAACTGGAGTAGTGCTGGAGAGATTTACGTTTTCTCCTCACCAGAAGATGTCGAGGTCTTTGTGGCTCAAAAGCTGAGGGATGCTGCTTCGGAGATGGAGGTCCCTGTGGATGAAGAGGATAATTCGGATGTAGCTAACTGAATGGACTAATGTTCTATTTAAGTTTTAATTATCTGATGGTGGATCACAATGACTTTTTAACTAAGTTGTTCTTTTTGGTTTTGGTAACTTTAAGGTTTTCCCAAAGCTATTGTTGTTGGTGGACCTATTTGGGGGTTTTCTTCATAATGTTTTAAAAATTCACGGAGAAAGATTTTTTTTTTAAGTTGTATTCTGGAGAATATGAGAGGAAAACCAACAAAAAGGGAAATTGAAGAAAGCAAAAATTCCTGTGTGTATATTCAGTTACTTAATATTGCATTTCTTTTTAATTCTGACCTAATTAGAGCCCAAACCCTGGATTCCATTTCCTAAGTATAGCAGTGCTCTCTCACCCCATCCTTCTAGGACAGTGTTCATTCACTCTGTAGGGAGTCCTTCCATTCTGTGAAGGATTTAAAATCAAATTAGAAAGTTTTGTATTTGGTTTTACCAAATACAATTAAGCATTTTCTTTGAAGATCCCTCTCACGCACCTTCTTCTGACTACAGGAATAAAGATGCGCCCATTTGTGTTATCTGCAAAGTAAAAGACTACAGTCCTGCCTTGGAAATGGAACTGTCTTAAGTTTAAGCTTCTTCTTCCTAGTAAAATTTCTGAGAAGGGACAAATGCTAAAAGGAGATACTCTAATAATATGAAGGATACCCAGCACTCAATGAAAAACATCTATTACTACTAAATTTCTTAATCAAACACCTAATGGTAGTCAAAATTCTAATTTAGAAGTGCTGATACCACGTGAAATTTTAAAGTAACTTTTACATATGAAGGCAGAGCCATCTATCACACAAAAGACATTACTATACTCATTCACATTTCAAACATAAGGGGGAAGGGAAGCTGAGCAGAACAGACAATGGCAATCGAAGAATTCAAATAATAGTACTCACCAACACATTTTTCGGCCAGTTCACCTAAAAAAGCATCTGACAATTTTGGATTCCAGTCCCTGGTATGAATCTGTAAGATGTGTTTTCTCGCCTAAGAAGAAAACAGGTTAAGTTTTCACCAAACTTTCCAAAGCATACCTCTATCTGGCAATCTGAGCAACAAATTTGATAATAACAATATGTGATATAACAACCACTGTTAATTTCCTATTCTTGTTTTGAAATTCTGTATCATTGTTATTGTTTTCTGTTGCTTTGTTTTGCTTTTGTTCTTGTTTCTTTCTCTTTAAAATTTAAAAAATATATGAATAGCCACTGTTTAAAATTTTGAACACCCTGGCATCCACATCAACCCATGAGATACGTTGCAGAGTGCTTGTCTCTGTTGCACCAGCTTAGACATTCAGTGTTATGAGAGGTAAAGAGACCTCACGAGTAGTACCTAATGGCTAAATGAGTCATCCGGGACTAGCATTTAAAAACTTAACTTCACTTTGCCACCACATTAGTCTTACCATTTGAAAACATAAAACAGACAACCTTAATGAGTTATAATAATCAAAAACTTTTGAACAAAGTTTGGTTATTTTGGTTTTTTGTTCTTTGCTTTTTTTTCTTTGAGGCAGGATTTTAATGTGTAGTTCAGGCCTTCAACTCATTACATAGCCCAGAGTGGCTTCAAACTCACAGCAATCTTCCTGCCTCTGCCTCCCAAATACTGGTGAGTGTGCCTCCCACACTTGGCTTATATAAACTTCAAACTTCACAGAATTTTGGGTTCCATTGAATGTAGAAGGTACTGACAATGGGCAAAATGACAATTTTGAACATTTTTCCTTAACTTTTTTCTAAATACAATTCTCTGGCTTAAATCTGACTGCATACAATAATCTGAATTTTATCATTTTGACTCCACAAAAGACTTTTTAAAAATAGCAGGCTCAGTGATCTGGATTCGAACCCTGGTGTGCTGGGTCCAGCCAGGCCCTCCCCCAGGCCGTGCTGAGACAGTAACTGACTCGGCATGGCAAAATGTGCCTGTAATCGCAGCACTTGGGAGGCTGAAAACAGGAAGATCATTACAAGTCTGATCTGTGTAGTGAGACCCTGTAAACCCTGTACTAAATACATTTTTAAAAAATTAGTACATATATATATATATATATATATATACACACACACACAATCATCTGACATACAATCCTGAGTGGAAACATATTTTTCACATCTGCCTTCTTTTGGGGAGTGGCAAGTGAACAACACTGAAAAAGTGAATATCCAGGCTAGGAGTGTGAACCCAGAGGGAGAGTGCTTGCCCGGCATGTATGAGGCCCTGAGTTTGGCCTACAGCAGCACCAAAAAATAAAAAATAAGAAAAAAAAAAAAAATTGTAGGCATGGTGCCACACGCCTGTAATGCCAGCACTCAGAAGGCTGAGGCAGGAGGATCACTGTGCGTTTGAGGCCAGCCTGGGCCATGCCTGCAAAAAAAAAAAGGAAATTATAACCAAGACAATCTTACTTTAGCTTAGAGAATTGAAGGTGTAGCAATCCAAACAAAAAGAACATTTTTCAAATTCATCACTACACTTCATTATTCAAAAAGTGGACAAGTCAGGCAGCAAATGCTATCATTTCCATTACAACTTGAAGTTAGGAGCTCAGCTACGAACACTAAACCAGTATAGCACTTGTTTTTTTCCAACTTGAAGTATCTGCATCAACAGATCCTATAAACTATAAATGAAAGACCAATAGCATGACAGCATATACATTCTATAAGAAGATATTAAGAATCTACTTAGACTTCATTAGCAGCATAAGTATTGTTCATTACAAGACAGAGAGGCAAGAAAATCACTTAAAACAAAAGGTAAGCAGGAAAATCTTTTCAAAAAATATCTATTCTTAATCCCTAATTTTACAAAATAAGTGAATGTTTCAAGAACTGAAATTACCTAAGGTCAGAAAATTATTGTCATGTTTCAAATATTTAATATGTTCTATATTATATAATTCTTCTTTAAAAAATATTAAATGAAGGAAAAATTATTTAAATGAAGAGATATTGTTCATTTTACTCTATATGTTATATAGAAAAGATCATATGACTTTCCCTAAGAGGAAGTACCTTCTTCTGCAGTTTTTGGGTTTTTTGGTTTGGTTTTGTTTTGGGTAGTAGTCGTGCTGCCTCCGGAAGTTAAGCCCAGGACTTCTGCACTGAGCTACATCCCCAGCACATATTTAACGTTTTATTTCAAGACAAGTTTTATAAAATTGCTAAGCTGGGTACTTATTGAAAAACCTACCCATATAGTAAATACATCATTTTTTGGAGGAAAAAAAAGATAGTTAGTTTGGTTAGAAACCAAACAAGATAATTACTATAATCTAGAAAAATAAACAGCAAGTAAGCATCCACAACATCTTAATAAGAGCTTAATAAGCATAAAATCCAAAAAATAAAAATTCAAAACAATCATCCTCAAAATTATATACCTACATTTTGTAACTGAGTTATATATAAATCTTAACACCCTAAAGCAAAAATTTACCTTTTGATCAGGCAGATTGAAAAGGAACTCTCTGTCAAAGCGACCAGGTCTCCTGAGTGCAGGATCTATAGAATCAAGTCTGTTTGTAGCACCAATAACAACAATTTCACCCCTGTTATCTAATCCATCCATGAGAGCAAGGAGGGTGGACACTATAGAGCTGGAAAAAATTTTCAAGCAAATTAAAAATGATTTCAATGAAAGAAAAACTTGAAAACACTGCTTACAATAATTTCTATCAGTTTTAAATGCTAATAAATATCTAGCAAAAATATGATATATGAAATGATTTACAAGACCCAGTCCTAGCCAAGGTCCGGTGAGTGAGTGGAGAGCTTCCTGCTACCCTG